TCTTTTCTTTTTTTAATGGTTGGAGAAGGATTGTGTGGGTTAGTTAAGAAAGCAAAGATGGAAGGGTTGTTGCATGGTATTGAGGTTGGAAAAGAAGGGTTGGCTATTTCTTTGCTTCAATTCACAGATGACACAGTTATATTAAGGAGGGCGGATGGTCAAAATGTGTTTATGGTAAAAACTATTTTGCGTTGGTTCGAGTTGATGTCCAGGTTGCAAATAAATTTTCACAAAAGCAATGTTTATAGGTTAAATGTGTCAGAGAGGTTGTTAAAAGGGGTAGCTAGTGCTTTGAATTGTGGAGTGGGGGAATTCCCATTTATCTATGTACAATTGCTTGTTGGCGGGAAACCAAGGAGTAAAAAGATGTGAGAGACGGTTGTGAAGAAATTTCGTGCCAAAGTTGCCATCTGGAAGTCAGCTATCCTTTCCTTTGGAGGCCACCTAACTCTACTTAATTCAATACTTTTTGCTCAACCCACTTTGTACATGTCTTTATTTTTAATGTCAAAAATATTGATTTCTGAGTTGGTTTCTATTCAAAGGAATTTTTTATGGGGTGGGCTTGAGTTAAAAAGGAAGATTTGGGTTAAGTGGGACGATATTTGCTGTAGTAAGGTGAAAGGAGGTTTAAGGGTGCCGGATTTAAAAAGGAGAAACTGGGCATTATTAGGAAAGTGGTGGTTTAGATTGGGTGGTGGTTTAGATTGGGTGATGGTGTGGAGAGTTTATGGAAACAGGTGTTGAAGGATAAATATTATAGGGGTAAGGAGGTGGTTGATATCACTACAGTGGACTATGGGTAGTTGTCAAAGATTTGGGGTGATATTATTCGTTTAGGAGGGATTTCGGAGAGGTTACGAAGGATGTTGGTGAGAGGGTTCAGATGAGAGAAGGGTAATGGACGAAGGATGGGTTTTTGGAGAGATATTTGGGTAGAGATAAATCTTTACGTGATTTATATCTCAGATTATATGCATTGAGTATGATTCAGGAGGGTATGGTTAGTGAGATGGGGGGTTGGGAAGAGGGTAGGTAGTGCTGGAGTATAGCATGGAGAAGGGAGAGATTGGGTAGAGAGAGGGATAAAGAGGTGTTGTTAAGAGAATTGCTGGGAAATGTTCGAATAAAGGCTGATGGGAATGATTGTTGGAGGTGGGTGCATGCTCTTGAAGGTAATTACATAGCGGAGAAAGCTTATAAGTTCTTAGCTCCTTTGGAGTGTGTTTTGCAGGGCCAAAGTTATAGAGTGGTTTGGTGCAATTTAATGCCATCTAAGGTATCTTTTTTTGGTTGGCGCTTATGTCTTGACAGGCTTCCAACAAAAGGGAACCTATATAATAGAGGGGTTGTTATGTAAGAAGGGAGTTTAATGTGTAGTTTATGCAATGAGGTGGTTGAGGACGTCACTCATTTATTTTGTACATGTAAGGAAGTTTGGCTAATTTGGGCAAATGTGCTACATTGGTGGGGGGTGGAATCTGTGTTGCCTAGTTCAATAGGAGGTATAGCAGAATTTTTCTCATCTAGCTTTGGTAAGCTAGTTGGGAAGGAAATGGGTGCTTGTATATTTCTAATTGTTTCTTGGTATTTGTAGTATTGGACAAATGCTTTGGTGTTTCAAAATAATGAGGGTTTTAAGGAGAAATTATTGGATATGGTTAAAATAAAGTCTTTTTCTTGGATTAAAACTAAGGCTACTGGGTCTATGTTTTCTTTTTATGAATGGATGGTTGACCTGATTGCTTGTGCATTGGCGATGAGAAGGCATAAAAAGGAATTGAAGATGTATTTGAAACAGAAATACGGCAAAGGTGATCGGCAGTGGGGCTTGGTTGGTTTTTGCTGGTATGTTTTGGTCATAAATATTGATCTTGGTGCTAGGTTTATTTTGTGATGACCTAGCTTTTTTTTTTTTTTTTGTAACGGGTTAGAGTACCCTTTGTACTCCTATTAATAAAGTATTTTAATTTACTGATAAAAAAAAAAAGCCACCTTATGAGGTCAAACTTCACGAACAACCTTTATGAACCAAACCAGTTGAGGCAATTCAAAGTTTAAACCCAAAAGTAGGAATTAAACAATCAAAGCTCACTCCATTAAAGTAATTCTTTCCTTTTGGGAAACAAATTAACATTAACACTATGAATCCCTAAACTTTTCTACATTCACTCTTCAAAAATTCACTAAGCAACACATCATCTTTAAAAATCTTGTTGGAAATTTAACCTTTGCTAAGAATTTCAAAGCCATAACCACAATCTCCTGACTCCTAAACACCACTATCCCCATAAAAACTAGAACTGTCACAACAATAGAACTGTCACAACAAATCTTCCCTTAAAAAAGCAAGCTAAGTACTAACAAAAGAGCACCCAACCCCCACCCC